TGCTTGAATGGACCCACAAATGCCACTCAGCAGTGGCCATCAGTGCCATTAGCTCCAGCAGCCACATCCTGGACCCGTTTGCTGTGTCAGACCTTGGTGGTGGGTGAGATTTCCAGAAGCTTTCAGCATTCCCCGAGTTCGGCTCGCTCTGAAGGCAGCAGGAGGGGTTGTTTGTCTCTTTCTGATTGTTTTGTTGGCTTTTTTTTTCTCATTAGCTTCAACAGAAAAAAAAAGAAGAGTGCAGCCACCACAGAGAGGGCTTTGGGAAATCACAGCCGATTGTGCTCTGGTTTGAAATGTATTTGGGTGTTCCCTGTGAAGTCCCCGGGAGCAGAATCTGCTCTTGGCACATGGTGAATAAGCCGGAGGATGGGGGATTAGCTGTAACCGTCGTGCCTCCGCGCTCCATCCCTTTGAACAGTCGGTTGATGTGACAGCGTGGGCACCGACGTGGCCCCCGGGCATGTTTGGCTGCAGCTACTGTGACATTTTGTGCAGCTGGTGTGTATGACTCAGAGGCTAAAGGGGCCAGAGCTGAAATCCAGAGGTCCTTGAGGACATGGAGAAGATGGGGTGGAACGGTCATGGTGCTTGGCAACCAAACTCCTAGAAACTTTGCCCAAAAGATGCTGTTTGCTCAGCAAAGCCAGAGGCTTGGTGGGTGACCTGTGTTCAGCTTGATGTGGAAGTGAAGACTCTGAGCCTGAGAGCATCTTGGGGGATGCAAATCACAGTAAAGGTTGAGGTGCAATGAAGAGGGGAAAGGAAAGAGCTGGTGTCTGCTCGTGCACCCGTGGGTCTGGGTCTCTGGCCACAGTTTTCTCCCACTCCTGAAACTCTAGAGCTTTGTGTCCTCTGCGGAAGTGTGGTCTCCAGGATCTTGGCACAGAGCTGTTCCCAGTGCTGCCAGTGTGCAGGAAGCTCCAGATGGAGCAATGTGTCCTGTGGATTGGGAAATTCAACTGCAGGAGAACCCTTGGGGGTGAGCAGCTCCCTCGGGAGCCGGGTTTGAGACGCTGCCGAGGATGGAGGAGAGGCCACGAGGGGTTTGAGGTGCTGGTGGCACTGGGCAGTGCTGCCAGTACCAATCATCTGCTGGGCAAAGGGTGGGCTGGGGGAGATGTCAAGGTGGAAGGGACCACTGAGACCATCCAAACACAGCCACAGCCCTGCCACGCCATGCCAGGAGCAACCAAAGAGGAGCCAAGTGTCTGGGAGAGCACAGATGTCTCTCTTAGATGAATTGAAGGTTTTTTCTTTCTCTGTTTTTATAAATGGTGAATGGCCATTAGTGGTTGGAACAGATGACCAGGCAACAGGGTGGCTTTTCCATCACTTGGAGTCCTAGAAGATGTGGTGAGCTGTGCTTTACCTGCCAGCTGTGTGACCCTGGGGCTGAGGCATCTGGCAGAGGCTGCCTTGGCAAATAAACCCTCTGCCCGTAGAGACCAGAGAGCTTCCACCCAGCCTCTCTGGATCTTCTGGGTGTCCATTAGATTTAAAGAAATAAAAAACCCCAGGGACTGTCTTTGCAGGTTAATTTAGCTATTTGCTGCCAGCAAAAGCCATCTGGATTGTTGTTAGGGGCAGGCTGGGGACATGGGGAGGGATGGGGACACCCCACGTAGCCCCATCTGCAGCCAGGCAGAGCCCCGAGCACCACGTTCTCCCCCCCACTCACCCACCTCACACAGATTTAATCTTCCAGGGCTGCATTAGCGAGGCTGCGTGCAACACGCAGGTTACAGCTGCCATCTTCATGTCATATTCTGTAAAACTTAAAATTTCCAGAGCCCTGTGCAATCAAATCAGCCCTCACAACCCCTCCTTAATTGTATTAGTTTGTCTGAGCAGCCACTGAGTATTTAAGAAGAAAAGAGTCTCCTTTTATTCTGATTTTCCTGCTGGGAAACTGAGGCACGGTGTCTCTTGCAAAGCAGGAGTGATTTGAGCTCCTGATGGTGTTTTGGAGGTGATTCTGCAGATTGTGGGATTCAGGACCACAAATAACCTGAAACACGGGATCTGGTTGTGTGGAAAATCGATCTCAAATGGGGCAAAGCACGACTGAGAAGACAGGAGCTGCCCAGGGGTCCTGCCTTTTTGCAGGCAAGAGAAATGATGGGCAAAGAGAGAAGATGTGGGGCTGGAAGAGGTTGTTCTGGCTCCCATCGCGTTTGTGCTGCTTCAGTTACTCTTTGTGGTGTTTTTGGTCCTTGAACTCTCCCAAATCTCTTTTGGTAAGTGAGGAAAGAGCAGAAAGCACATCCGGAGGAGGACCAGGATGGCTGGACACGTCCCTGCCTTGGCTTAAGCCACAGCAGCATCCTGCACGCCGGCGATTTGTGCAGAGCCGGTTTGTCTTGGGGGAATGGGGGCAGAGGGAAACCCCATGCTGATAATGTACTGAAAGTAAATGAAATTAAATAAGCGAAGCAGCACTCACAAGCTCCTGCCTTTTCCCCCCCCTGGGTAATTCAATTGGAGTGCTGGTGCTGATGGGATCTCGCCGGGGCTGCCTCTGTCACCCCGCTGGGACCTGGATTCTTAACGTCTAAATAAAAGTTTCACTCGAGCATTTTTTATGCTCCTGCCAGCGGGATCGGAGAGCTGGCGTTGGGCACATTAATGTAATATTCATAGTCGCAGGGTCTCCCCGTGTATCCGGCAGCACCGTCCCATTTTCATAATTAGAAATGTCCCAGAAAATGATATTTAGATTTGCATTAGTAAAAAAAAAGGGGTCGGGGCTTGGATTTGAGAAGACAAGGTGACTTTTTATAAGTCAGATGCTCAGTGTCACAGAAGAAAAGCTCGAGTGTGTTTGTGCCAGGCTGGTGCTTTCACCTCTGCATGGAGGAGGGATGCCAGGTTGGTGCCCTGGGAGGTGGCAGCAGAGGGGACATTGTGGCCCCTGCTCACAACGACTCTGCCAACCCACCTGGAGCCCATGGGCTGTCTGCTGCAAAGCCTCATCCCCAGAATCAAAAGGTGATGAGTGCTGTTAGGGTCCCAGGCAATGCAGGGTCCCGTCTCTGAGGGTGCCCAGGGCCACTTGTGCCTGAGGACGGTGCAGAAGCTCCTCAGGACATTATTCTGCACCTCCTACCCGTTGGGAAAAATCTTCTGATACTGACCAGTCTGAACCCTGAAAGGGAATTTAGGTCCTTTTCAGCATCTCTTTGTTTTCATGATAAGAAATACAATAAACCTGATGTTCTGCACTATTTGTAGGAAGGTCTTGGCTTCTACTCAGCTCCCCGACTGCTTGTGCAGTGAGTTGCACACACTGAAGGTGAAACCCTGCTCCTCTCCATCCTTGCTGAAGGATTGGATCTGAGGAAAAAATTATTCTCCAAAAGGGTTGACAAGCATTGGAACAGGCTGACCGGGACAGTGGTGGAGTCCCCATCCCTGGAGGGATATAAAAGACATGTAGATGTGGTGCTGAGGGACATGGGTTAGTGGTGGACTTGGCAGTGTTGGGTTTATGGTTGGACTCAATGATCATAGAATCCCAGACTGGTTTGGGTTGGGAGGGACCTTAAAGCTCATCCAGTCCCAACCCCCCTGCCAGCAGCAGGGACACCTTCCACTAGACCAGGTTGCTCAAAGCCTCATCCAACCTGGCCTTGAACACTTCCGGGGAGGGAGCATTCTTACTCTAGCTGTGTGTATCATGGTCCTGGTTTCCTTAAGGACTATCTTCTGGGAGCCTGCAACCAGGATTGGGAATAGCTGGTGAGATCATGGTAGACCATGATTTTCACCTCCAGCTGCTGATTTGCCTTCTCAGGCTTCTTCTGCAGGGAAAGGGGCTGAAGACGTTGTGCAAATGGGAAATCCCAAAGCTTTGCTTTGCTCTGCTCTCTCTAGGATTGGAGGAGATCACACCAAAGCCTGTTCAAGACACGGGGAACATTTTGAAGCAAGGATATCTGGAGAAGAGGTCCCGAGGTAAGGCCTGAGAAGTACATCGTAAGATTTGGGGATGTCACCTCAGAATTACCAAGAATGCAAGTTTTCAGATGAAGAACCAACAGGAAAATACACCTTTTCTGCAGGTTTGTCTGTAGGCACATGCAGAATCTTTCAGGCTTTTCTTAGGCATCATAAACACAGGGAGGACACAGCCTTTATTTATTCTCTTTTGTGGATCATCAAACTGCACAAAGATTAAAACCCAGAAATTGAATTAAGCAGCAGCCCAGTCCTCTAAGGCAAGATGTGCCCTTCTAACCAGCGATACCTAATGAGGATAAAATCCTGGTGAAGACAAGGTAGTTCGTAGCATCACACACATTAGCAAGTTGAGATAAGGACTGTGAGTCAGCCTCGGGTTTATCTTGATTTTACTGGCTCTTGTGAAAGCTACAAATTATTTCCTCATCACTCAGATTTTATCTTGATTTATTTACTGTATGACAGGTGGTATGAGGCAAGAACAGCCCTTTTTTTTTCCTCATGGCCATCAGCTGAGCTGTGTGACTGGCTCTGTAGATAGTTTAGCTTGCTCCAATTACAGAGTAAAAGACATTTGCTTAAACCTCAAATAGGGAAGGTTTAACCCAAAGCTGTGTTCCCTCCCAGTTGGTAGAACTAAGGTCACAGCAGCTCAGCTCAGCTCAGCTCAGCTTGCTTGGAGAGCTGGGGAAGGTTTGCAGGGTCTCCAAGCCTTGTAGGACAGGCTGGTTCTTCCTTGGTTGAGGTTTTATATCTAAATTTGCTTGCCTGAATTATGTGCCAGAAATCTGCAGGATTTTGTGGTGAAAAAATTCTTCTTTTCCTTAAATATTCATCTGAAGCATAGAATGAAAGAAGAGAAATTAATATTTTTTACTCTATTGCTGTCCTTTTCTTTCTAGAGCACAGCTTTTTTGGGTCAGAGTGGCAGAAGCGGTGGTGTGTCCTCAACAGAAAAACCTTTTACTACTATGCCAATGAGAAAAGTAAGTGGGTGAGATATCTGCCTCCAGTCTCCAACCCATGAGTGGTGGCTGAGGGCATGGACAGGGCTGGAAAAGAGAAGGGGAGAGAGAGCCCTTGCTGAAGGACAGGTTAATATCTGACAAGGGAAAAGATAATAACATGCAGGTTCTCCAAAGGTACATCTCAGCCTGCTCTTTTTATTTTCCCTCAAACACCTTTATAGATATTGGAACAAGAGAAGAGAGACCCAGGAACAGAGCTGTGTGTAAATAAAACGATGGACCAAGTTTTCTATTAGCTGTCAGCTGGGCTTCAACCCCCTCAGTGACTGTATATAATCCATGTGTCAGCATATATAAATATTTTGCAGTCATGCTCCATCAGGTACATATAAACAGACAGCTAATATCTCCAACAGAGTTTGGTGTGATTAGATTTACGGCCGTCCTCTGTTCTACCCAAGCCAGAAACATGGGATGCTAACGGCTTACAAAATACACACCCTTGCTTTGCAATGACCAGTCTGCACCTAGGACAGGATTCAACTCCACTGGGTCAGGGAGATGAAGCTGGGTCTTTGTCCTTCTTCCACATCCTTTGTCTGAGGATCTCAAGGACTTTTTGTTTCCAAACAAGCTTTCCAACTCCTCTCACCCTGGCAGGGTGTGTGCAGGGGTATGAGCTGCTCAGGTTTTCCCAGTGAACTGCTGGCAGAGGTAGATGTTGAAGCCAGGGGTTGATATTTGGTTGTTTTTGTGAGGGACAAGCAGTTGTCAACTTCCAAATGGTCTCTAGAAGACAAGAGATTAAAGCAAACCTGTTATCAATGGGCTGAAATCCTTATATAGGCCTTGACCTCACCTCTGGAAGTTTCTGAAGGATCTGCAAATCAAAAAAAAAGGTTCAGAGCTACTGCCTGAATCGTACTCCCACACTTCCTCAAGAAGATTCATAAGGAAATAATGAGCTGGGGTAAATAAAGACGCCTCCAATGACTGCAGTGAAGTTCCCTCTCTCCACCCTGGCTGACATCAGCCGTGCGTGTGCATCGGCGAGATCCATAGGCCAATTCTCAAAGGTCCCACTGAGTATTTCTTCCTGTACGTGGGCCCGTTAATGTCTTACCAGCAGAATTATCATCAGCATCATATTTCCCCAAGTACACTGTGGTCTCTGCTTCATTACAACCAGCTCATCTCATGCAACCGTCTGACCCTGGCAACCTTTCGCTGGCTGTTTGCAATCTCTTGATGCTTACAAGGGCATCCTCTTTACTGGGTCTTTATGAAAATTTTTTAATATTTCCTTTAAATTTCCTGGGGGTGGAGGTGCTTAGACCAAAGGGGTTTTTTCTGGCCATTTCCCATTGACACGTGGTGTGCCTCAGTTTCCCTACGTGGACAACTGACGTTTGCACCACGCAGCAGTACTGTGAGCTTGATGAAAAGATGCAAACTCCAGATTGAGCTTGTTTCTCTTCTTCCAGGTAAGCAACCTAAAGGCAACTTCTCCATTGAGGACTATAGTGCCCGGATGGCTTTTCATCTGCGCAAAGACTCTCGAAAAAGATGCTGTTTCGAGTTAATCTGCCCTGGCAAACGCACCTACGAGGTAGGAACTGGGGGAAGAAATGGACCTTCCTGTGCTGGTTTGAGCACTAGATGCAAAAGCACCTGGTCCCAGGTCTGAAGGCAGAGGTGGAGGTTGGACCTGCGGGGTCAGGGAGGCTGTGAATCTCCAACCCCCCAGGTAAAACAAACCAAAAGGCACTGCAGAAAGTGCTGATGCTTCTCCTTGTTCACAGATCATCTCACCGTGGACCTTCCCTTGGTACAAGGGATCCTGGGCTCTCTTTGTACTTGTGGGACACAAGGGTTAAGCGAGAACATTGGATAGAAGCAGTAAAGGATTGAGTTTAGAAAACTTGTTTTTAAATAAGCAGTTCAGAGCCAGGTGAAATTTAAACCTTCGATTTGTTGAGCATTTTTAGGAGCCTAAAAACTGGTGTAATGAAAAACCTGGCCCAGTCCACAAAGTGTGCATGAGAACCTTCCTGAGCTTCAGGGAGATTTTGGATGTAGAGCCTTGGTTCCGAGTCAGTACAGGATATTCAGTGGGGATTGTGGTTTTCATCTGAATTGTTTTAATGAATTAGGCTTGACAGCCTTCCCCTGGGATGGTCTTGCTTTATTCCGATTCTGTTTCCCTGTTTGGAATAAGGAAACAAAGAAGTGAAGTGGTTTTCCCAAAGTCACAGGGTCGAGAATGGCAGATCCAGGATCTCCATCCACTATTCTAGCTGCAAATCTTTTTCTTCTTCCTACACACAAGAACCAGCCTGATAACAAATGAACCTCTCTCCAGTTCACAGCCCCAAGCCCAGCAGAGGCTGAAGACTGGGTGGATCAGATCCAGTTCCTCCTGAAGGGTGAGTCTGGCAGCACATCCTGTTTGTTTGGGCAGATCCTGGCAGCATCTTCCCACCCAGCTTGGGCTGCTCCCACCAGCAACGGGTGGGCTTGTGCTCATTGCCAAGATCTTGCTGGGGTCCCAGCATCTCCTCTTAGCAACAAGAGAGGTTCTGGGGCTTTGCTCTTTCAAGCAGGTGTTTAAAAAGAAGTGGTTGTTTGAAGCCCACAGGCATTTGGTTTCAACTACAGAGGTTTTGGCTACTTTTAGAGCACAGAGTTGTGTGATCTCTCAAAAGCTGCAAGTGCCACCAAGTGAGGAAAAAAAAAAAGGGTGGGGATTGTTCCTCACTGCTGGGGTTGCAGAGCTGTTCTGTCCTTGGCTGATGAAGGATGGAGTTTGGCTCCACTGGAGTTGCTCCAGTTTGAAACCAGCAATACTGAGATAAGACTCCAGCCCTGCATGTGGAAACTCTCTGGAAAGCATAAGCAGCTGCCCAGGAAGGAGTCAGACTCAATTCCTTGAGGCACTTGTTGAATTTGTCTTTGTTCTCTGGCATTTGCCAACCTTTCTTGGGCTTTTCCTTTGCTTTAGCCAATTTTCAGCTTCCATCCCATTTTCTTTCTCACAGGCCAAGCAAGGGGACTTCACCCCCTGCAAGATCCATAGTGAGCACAAAGTAGAGTGGCACAGGATTTGTTACTTGATCTCAACTCCCTGATTTGCTCTTTTTCACCATGCTTTTCCTCTCTCCTTGCCAGACATGAGCTCCCTCACTATCCCATATGATGAGGAGGGTGAAGAAGATCTCTACAATGACGTGGACAGTTCTGACTCTGTGAACACATCATCCCACAATACTACCCTGAATCAGGATGACCCAAACATTGAGATGGAAGAGGATGACATCTACGAGGTTTTGCCAGGTAAGCAACCAAATAAGCAGGTGAAAACCCAAACATCTCCCTGCAAACACAGCAGGAGACCTTGGCCAAACAACATGTTGATGGAAATGAACATTTAGGACTCTGCTGAATTTAGTGGACCCATAACACAAAGGTTTGACCCCATTTCTTTGTTCAGACTGGTTGATGGACCACAAGAGCAAACCCTTTCTGTTCTGATGAGGCAGAGGCTTTGTCAGTTCAGGTGGGACAGCTTTTAAAGGTTGTGCTTCGTTCAGCCTGAGTAATATTAAGTTTGGTGAGAGTGGAATCTCTGGGCTGTGTTACCTGGAAAATCAGACTTTAGATGATGAAAATGCTCCCTCCTGGGCATGCAGTCATGGCTGTAACACAATTACTGGCCTTCCAAGAGATGATAAAATAACTGCATTAAAGACCAGCGCTTGTTCACTAACAGTGCACGAGGTCTGGAGGTAGCAGGGCAGCGGCTGCCAGTTAAAGGAGCCAGGAGCAATCTTCCTGGCACAGAATCAAACAGCCTGCGAGGGTGACACGGTCTGTGACATTTCTTACCATTACAGCAGAAAATTATGGTGTGACATGCCCCAGGGTTTGGTCAACAGGTCACCTGAGCCTTATTCAAACCCGTGTGCTGTTGTACCTCTGTGCTGAGGTTGAGATCCCCCAGCTCTGCTCCCCATCGCCGAGAGCAGGGTCCCTTGGTGTCTGTGTTCAGAGATGCAAAATAGATCCGTGTTTCTTCTTATTTAATTCAGAAATTTATATTTATAGTGATTAAAAAAAAAAAAAATTAAATGCACCAGAAAGTTTTATGGTGCCTGAGATCTTTGTCTTGTTATTGCTGCCAAAGGAAATCTCTGCTCAGTGGTTTGCAAGTGGCATCCAGACAGTTGCTGGGAGCGGAGCTGGGGCTGCCTGAGCAAACCCTCAGCCTCTCTCCATCTCTTGTCTTTCCTTCCTGACCTGCCCTTCCTCTGTTTACATCCTCAGCTCTTTGGGCAGCAGCTTTCTTTTCCTACAGTGATCCCTGAGCTCAGCAGGAGCCTCTGGTCCCCAGGCTGGTGTGGGTGAAGTGCTGATGATGTGTCAGGCCCAGGGCTCTCAGCATCCCTGGCTGCTTTGGCAGCTGTGCCCGACTCCTCGCTGCCTTGCAGCTGCCGACACCGACTACAGAGCAGACAGTAGATGTGAGTTGGTTCCACATGTGGCTAATGGTGATTCTGCCAGGAGCTTGCACTGCTGATTTAGGGGCAAACCTCTCCATTGCCACCGCTCCAGGATGCAGAGTGTCCCAAAAGAGCTGGAGCCAACCCTGCCAGCCAGGTTCACCCTTGGTCCCCACGAGTGTTGCTCTCTGGCTCCTACACATGGGTCAGTGCTTTGGTGCTGGAGCTGCAGAGCATCGTGGTGGAGGAGGGAACATCCCAGCCAAACCTTTCCTTTAATTACAAGGTTTTGCTGTGTCCCCCATCCTGCCCACCCCAGGTTCTTTAAAGCTTGGTGAGAGGTTCCTAAGGCACCCCCAAGGGTTGTGTCTCAGGCTGCCAACCAGCCCAGCCCTGCGAGCAGCGGGGTGGGAGCCCCTCGCTTCAGCAGGGCTTTTCCTGTATCCTTTGGTCCTGGTGTGTGGGCATCCCAGGGGCTTTGCTGCCATGCAGGAGCTGCTGTCCCTGTCCGAGCATCCTGCACCCAGTGTCATGGTTACTGAGCTGAGGCATGAGCAGGAGCTGTGGGACCAGCATCACCTCTGCTCTCCAACCATTGAGCATCCTGCCTGCAGCCCATGGCCAGAATCACAGCGACACGTGGGGACACAGCTCAGACACCGTGCAGGACACTGCCAGCAGGAAACAAAACCACATCTCACCCATCTGGGCAAATTTCTAACCCTCTGCAGACCCCAAATTCCCTGCCAGGTTGAAGGTAGGTGGTGGTGGTGGCATGTTACTGTAGAGGCAGATGCCCAGTGGGCGAGTGGTGAGAAACCAGTTGCAGGGCTCAGGGACAGGTAGGAGAGGTTTGCTCTGCCCTGAGCTCATCCCCACCTCAGCCCTTCACACCCCTGAGACCCCTCCAGCAAGGGTAGGAAAAAAAAGAAAGTTACCATCCAAGTTGGGGTCTCCTCTGGGCCCAGCTGCCTCCCCCATGTCCCAAGTGAAAATAGAGAGAAAAAGAGGGAGAAAGGAAAGAAAAAAAAAGAAAGGAGGGGGAGATGAAGAGATAATTTCCTCAGCAAGTCATCGTCGTTAATGAAGTTTTACAAAAACAGATACAACCAAGGAAAAATAAAATTTCACAGGTGATAAATTTTTCCAATTTCCCTGGCAGAATTCGATAGGATTGTTAAATTAAGAGTGAAGGTGTCTGTTAGGAAGCAACGAGCAGTGATGGGTAATTTTATAGAGTGGAAAATTGAATCAAATTGCTACATTAAAACACAGCTCCTCTGAGAATCTGCCCAACGCCCGGGCTGCTCCGGCACAGCGGTGGGGTGTGCAGCCCACCGGCTCCCTGGCCGTGCCTGGGGGGGGGGGCTGCCGTGGGGCTCTGGACCCCAGGTGTGGGTGCCCAGGGCTGCCCATGGGGATGTGTTGTCCCCAGTAAAAGCATTTTCTCAAGGATGGTGTGGTCCAGGCTGGGATGCTCTGCATAGGGAGGTGGCACAGGGGGAAGCAGCACAGCCCCCAGGAAATGCATTTTTCAGTATTTCTCTCTTGATTCATCACTATAAAATCCAGATATTGGCTGAGATCAAACACCCAGGCCCTGGGAAGGCAGAGCATCACTTCCAGACTTGACTCAGAACAGCACGTGGTTGCAACAGGCTGCAGGGCTGCGGAGCAGAGCTTCTCACATCCCCATTCCTGGATGGCATAGCTCAGAATCCGTGAGGACTGTGCCTGAGGCCAGCGTGCCACAGCATGAGCCATGGTGCCAGCAGCACCCCAGGGTTAGTGCCTTCACCCTAAGGTATCTGCCAGGGCAACCGTGCCAGGCTGTGGGCTCAGAGGGGCTGTCACTGGCCCTGCTGCAGCGTTGCAGGAGAATCACAGGGTGGCCTGGATTGGAAAAGATCTCCAAGATCATCCAGTCCAACCATGAACCCAACACTGACCAGTCCCCTATGACTAACCCATGTCCCTCAGCACTGTGTCTACACGACTCTTCAATCCCTCCAGGGATGGGGACTCCACCACTGCCCTGGCCAACCCCTTCCAATGCCTCAGAACCCTTTCAGCAAAGAAATTCTTCCTCACATCCCATCTCAACTGCCCTGGCCACAACTGGAGCCCATTTCCTCTTGTCCTGTCCCTTGTCCCTTGGTTGAACAGACCCACCCCCACCTCTCTATGGGGTGTATGAGGGCAAGCAGAGTTTGGCTGCTGGTAGCCAAGGGGAAACCACACCAGAGAGCTGCCTCCCCGCTACGTTTTCCTGAGGAAAATCCCATGTGAGTTTCCTCCCTTCCTTCCACGAAGGCTCCATCCATTGCAGCCCTCACAGCCCATCAGCCTCGAAGAACTCGCTGTGGGGTGGCCAGCCCTGAGCACACCGGGCAGAGCGGGGACTGGGCATCACTTGGGGTTTTCCTCCAAGTACCTTTTGCAAAAGGCACAGAGTGAGTGGTCAGCAAGGCAAAGGCTTTGGAAAGACAGGGAAACTGAGGCACAGAGGACTGAGACATGGGAGACCACCTTGTCCAAGCCTAGCTGTTGTCTCAGGAGCTGGTCTGTGGCTTTGATTTTGGGTTGGAATATGCCTCATTCCATCAAATATGGAATAAAATGGCCCAAGGTGAGAGAAGAAGAGGGAGCTGCTCTGGAAAATCTCCCCAGTCCCTGCCTGGCAGCCTTGTGTGGGTCCTGGAGAGTGAGGACATGGGGAGCAGCAGCTCTCTATGGGGTGAGGGACCAGGACCCCCAGAGCTGCCTGAGCTCGTTAGGGGCTGTTGCTGTGACTCCCCATTAGCTGTGCCAGCAAAGGGAACCAGCTTTGCCAGCTGGGGGGACTCCCAGGAAAATGGGGAGGAAAAGCAGGATGGGCACATCTCCCCAGGATCATTGGGGCACCCGTGGCTGCCCAGCACCATGTCCAGGCAGGGAGCTGGATCCAGCAGTGCCAGCTCCTCGTGTGCAGGATTCCCACAGCTTTGCTCCTCTTGGAAACCCAGCGGCAGCGTTTCCTCCAGGGCACGTGTTTTCCTGCGCCAGCGCCGGCTGCTGCTTCCCAAGGAGCTTGTGTGAGTGCCAAGAGGTGTGAGAAGGGCTCTGGGAAGAGGTTTCCTGAGGACAGGCTGGCTCTGGGGTGGAAGCGTGAGCAGGAGGGATGTGCACAGCGTGGATAGGAGGAGGGGGTGGCCGTGGGGACACCCTGGGGGCAGGTGTCACCCCGCTTTGGAGGATGGCTCCGGGCTTTTCATGGCACACAGGCACGGGAGCTGGTTTGACTGGTCTCCATCTCATGCCAAGATGGGATTAGGAGATCCAGTGCCATTGCTTGAAGTATAAAAGAATCCAGTTGTGAGGGTTTGGGGCACCTGCGTGGGAATGCTGGGGGGAGAGTGCTGTTACTGATACATTCACCTTCTCTTTTACAAATGCAAAGAGCAGGCAAAAGCCACTTTCAATAATTTATTTGAAAATCAATGCTAATGAGGTTCTGTCTCGTCAGTGGCCGAGTTTTACAATAAAGTCTGATTTATTTAGAAAAGATCTTTGGTGCCGTTTCCCGTCTAATGGGGGAGCAGTGGCAGTGACCCTCTAACTTGGGATGCAATTTGGAATTGGCAGCGGAGCTCTGACCTGGTTTGCATCGATCCAGCTCCGGGTGGGAGAGACGGCTGGGGCCACGTCCTCAGAACACACCAAGCAGCAGATCAGCTGGTGTGGGAGCAGCAGAAGACCCAGCCTTGGTTTCTGTTGGCTCTGGCTAAAGGTGACAGCAAAGCCACGTCCCCTGAGATGTGACAGGGACATCTCGTCTGCACCAGGCTCGGCTGTGCCAGGGCTGTCCCGTGCTC